CCCTGAGTCTCTGGCCTGTACCCCAGTTCTGTATGCACAAATAAATAAATCTTTAAAAAAAAAAAAAAGTATTGGATTTTAATAAAGTATTGGATTTTGTGTACAACCTTTGAAAGAGAAAAAGATGGCACTTGGGAGATGTAAAAGCCTTTACTAGTAATCTGGCTACTTCCTGAAGTCACACCCTGAATCCTGTGAAAGATTAGGGCTTCAAATATCATTAATAGTGCAGAGTCCTAATACATTGTACCTGGAGGCAGTTGCATTGTTTTTCTTCTAGAGATTTCAAAAATACCCACCAGATGGCACTAGTCTTAATCTAATTTTTACCCATAGGCTAGCTGGCAGATATATTTTGATATGTGCATTTAAAAAATTCATGAAGAGTATATTTGCATATCTGCTTTGGCTCAGTTTATATTAAGCACAAGCATCTGGTGATTACTTTGGCCTCTTCCAAATCTAGTCTCTCACCATTTTGTTTCTTTTTTCTTTTTTCTACCCACTCAGTCTGTCATACTCACCCTGTACATTCTGTACCCACATGCTAACATTGGATCCTCAATTTTACTAGTTTTACTATTCTTTCTTTCTGACTTGTTTCTTGTGTGTATTTGTGTGTAACTAAGTTCTTGAAGTTTTTGTTAAAAGACTAGGCCAGGTTATATGATGCTATACAGTAGACACTCAACATGTTTAATAAAATAATGTATTGATAGAGAGGAAAATATAGAGGGATACCAAAAATTATTTATACTTCCCTTAGAAAGACAGAGTCCCATTTTTAAAATTACTATAATTAAATATTAAATGATATAGAACTTACTGTGATCTTTGAATTTTCAAGAGAGATGCACTTATTTATTCAGACAGTATCTATTGAGCATCTACTATGTGCCAGGAAATATTCTTGGTTCTGGAGATAAATCAGAAACACAACATTGAAAATCCTGCCTCATGGAGTTCACAAGTTTGGCCAGGATGAGACAGACAATAAACAAATAAACAAGTAAATGTAAATATACAAGATGAGATGAATACTATATAAAAAGTAAAAGTACATCAGGCAAAGAGGTTTGGGAGTACTAGGGTGAGAGGGTGTTGACATTTTAAGTAAAGAGTCTGAGAAAGCTAATGGGCCAAACTGACCGTTTAATGACCTAAAGGAAGAGCAGAGCTAGCAGAGCGAGCCACTCATCTCTGGCGAGTGCTGCAGGCAGAGTAAGAGCAGATCCAGACCCGTAGGGACTGTAGCAAGAGCAGGAGAGCTGAGAGGAATTTCATGAGGAAGTGGGGCTTGCACCAGGCGTAATGAAGACAGCTGTAGAGGTGTGGGGGTCTTTGGCAGAGGGTGAAAATGAACTTTCTACATCCGTAGACAGTGAGGCGCCTGCTAACCTGAGCAAAGGTGATTGGAGGTGAGGCCTGAAGAGCTAGCGCAAGCAATTTTAATCTGACACTCGTGTTTGAAGGCATTTGCGCAGTTGGGCCGTGAGATGAGTGTATTGTCTGTGCAAGATGAAGGGGAGCGACTGGCAGAAGAACCTGTAGTTGAAAAGAGCAATTTTGGAGTCAGGAAGGTTGGGCAGCTTTTTCAGCAGATGTGAGCACTTTCGTGTTTATGCTAATGTCTTCGAAGATAAATGTAATAGAAATCACAAATACATGTTCCCGCCAAGGAATGCCACTAAGGTGAAAAAATAGAAAAGATCAAGAAATTATTTCAGAATCATTTAAAAAATACTCATTGACAAATGTGTTTACTGAAATCACCTTTCTGCTTCAACATCATTAATGATTGCCCATAATAGACGTGTTAACTTTTACATTGGTATGAATTTCACACATCTTCCTTCCACACAGAGAGTCACAGTCAATATTTTCACTACATGACAGTTCTGTTAAAGGCTCCAAGTCTTACGCAGGCTTACATGTTATTATCTGTATTTACAGAAGTGATGAATGAGCTTGCTAATGTTTCCTCCACAGGCTCACTCATTCATTCAAATAAAAACATTTACTGGGTGCCTTCTATATGGCAAAATAAAAGGTATTGTGTAATGACTAAGAACATGGACTTTGGCACTGTGTAGTAACTGTAGAGCCTAGGGCAAGTTACTTATCTTCCCAACCTGTCTTTCTTCATACAAAAAGTGAGGACAATTAAAATGCCCTACTGTTTATGGCAATTGTGACCATCAAATGCCCTAATGTATATAAGTTTGCCACGTGCCAAGTACAGGACGTGGCATGTGTGAAAGAGCAATTTTGCTTTTATTACTGTTATGTATAGATTTTTGGGTTTCTTTCAGTCAGTGAGGAAAGGACCTGCAATTGTTGCTAATCTTGATCTAACACAGGGCTGAGGGGTTCTGGTATAATTTCAGAAATCAAGCAGCATGGCAGAGGTAGGGAGAGCAGCTTGCTAATTCTGCCTCTCCTGCCAGCAGAGTGAATGAAAGGGCTACAGTGGTGGGAGTGGTTTGCAGCTTTCCCAAGTTCCAGCACCGTCCTAGTTATTCCCAGTTCTTTTGGCTAACCCACTTATTCTCCCAACTGTGGCGTTGCTAGCACAAAGGAAGGAAAGTGGAAGGATGGAAGGAACAGTAATCCTTAGTGTTGCTTAGAGCTAAAGCTCAATTCTTTACCTGGGGCACTTTCTCAGGCTGGCCATGATAAGCAAACTGAACATAGCTTCTGAGCAAAAAATATTGCAATTATATGGTTGAACAGGAATTTTTTTAACTTTTTGCAAGAAAGACAGGCTATTGTGGAAATACATAATTTGTGTTTAAATTTGGAAAGATTTCTATCATTGTGGGGAGGACAGCAGAACAGAATATTTGGAAACTGTACTATTTACATTTAAATGAACTCAGGTGAAAGTGAAATGCCACTTAAACTTTAGTTCCATATTTTCATTAGCCACACAGCAGGTGCTCATTAGTCACAGGAGGCTGAGTTGGACACACAGATCCAGAACACTGCCAGCATCACAGAAAGTTCTGTTGGCTCCCACTGCTACAGAATATGTGGTCGGTGTAACTATAGACTTCCTAGACTTCCAGGAAATGGGGCAGTTTTGGATCTTATGCCCTATAGTAAGTCTTTCATCAATTTTCTACCATTCTCATTCTCCAGCCTGCTGTGAGGTATGGGGCAAGCAGCTGGGGGCTGGGCCTCAGGACCCTCTGGCTCAGCTCTTAGCTGCCATATAGATTAACCGAGTAATTGTGAGCATCTTTCCTGGTCTTGCTTCCTTCATCTGTGAAATGATGGAGCTGGCCAAATGAGACGGAATTTTTTTGAGCTTTAAAATTCCATCTTTTTCCATGAACACAGAGCTCACAGGTCCTACTTTGAAAAAAGTAGGATAAAAGACCTGGTGTTTGAGAAACAATGCCCTCTTGGCACAGAAAACTGTCAGCAGGCTGCCTGTTTTCTTCTGTGTCCAAAGCATGCGTGGTTGTCAACCAATCAGAACCCTTTATCTGGGGACCCACCAACTGGCTGTTTGGGCTTTGCATCTCTGTGCAATGGAGATGTGTGGCACACAATCTTACGCTGTTGGAAGTCACAGTTCTCTTTAAAGAGGGTCTTGTTGCATTAACATGGGCTACTGACATGGCTAGGGCTACACCAGGAAATGTGGGCGCCAGGGGTTTTCACAGCCAGATTCTGAAGGACCATAGTCTTCTGACTGTGGGCTGCCCAGAGTCAGGCTGATTTGTCTCCATGGTGTTTCCCCAGCCTTTGCCTGAACTGAGCCCACAGCATTTAACCAGCCACAGCCACTTAACCACCTCTGTGGGTCTTCTGTTTTCAGCTTGCTGTGGTCAGAGGGAGGTGTCTGTCTCTTTGCTCAGAAGCAACTTTGTGCATATTGCTGTAGATATTCACACTAGATGTTCTGGCTGCTCTGGCAGATTTTCTTTCTTATTTTGAGGCTGCAGTGATGGAGTGTGTGTGTGTGTGGGGGGGGGATTTCTTTCTCTCTAGTGAAGAGCAGGAGGAGGAGCAAGAGGCCAGGAGGTTGACAAGGAAACTACTTACTTTTCTTACTGAGGTACTCACAGGGATTTGGGAGGGGGATGCATACCTCCCCAACACAGGGTAGACTCCTTACTCCTCAAACTGCCACTGTTGAGGAACAGCTATGTCCTTGGGCAAGGTACTGACCTTTGAGCCTTCACCCCCTGCAGGTCTTCCCTCTGTGCCGCTGATGTTGAAAGGTAGCATGATATGGGTCTTCCTCCAGCTTCCAATTTTCCTACAGAAACAAGTGTGCATTGAGTACAAATGCCTAGTCTTCTTCAAAACAATAGCACATCTGTGGCTTGAAGAATTAGAAATGGGAACGGCTCTTTCATTGGGGCAAGGTTGGTTTTTTTTTTTAAGATTTATTTTTTTTATACATACAGAACTGGGGTACAGGCCAGAGGTGCAGGGGGTGGTGAAAGGATTCACGAGAAACAGAGTGGGGAGCAGAACAGACAGATGGACAGAAATACACTGCTGAGGGGAGCAGCAGGTGGGTCAAGAGAGGTCTGCCACACCATGTGGGTCACCTCCCTGGCGCGGGATCGAACTGGTCTGCAGTGGTTGCGATAGTTTCATGGTGCTGCGCTTTAACCCACTGTGCCCCATCTGGGCAGGCTTTTACCCAGCTTTTACAAAAGCACATTTTGGGGTGGTATTTATTTTAGTTCAAGTTCATTTAATTAATTTAAAACTCACTGAAATTAGGATTTTACATTTGAGCAGTTATTTTGGAAAAAGGGAAAAAAGGAAGCAGGAAGGCAGACTTTGGTTGAAGATAGACTTTTGGTTCCCTTGTTTATGTTTTGTTCAGCACAGCTCTAATAAATGTGCCCTAGTCAACTATCAATAACCATACTTCTCTTTCCTATCAGCTTTTTTTGCTGTCTTCCTGGCTGATTCTTCCCTTTCTCTTTTTGTTTCTCTCTATTCTTTAGCCTAACCTCACAGTCCAGACCCCGAGTGGAAAAGGTTAGTGTTTTCAGCTTGTCTAGGGGGTAAAAAATCCTATGATTCACTCCCCTTCCGGTGTGGTGGGGTGGGTGGGGCGCTGGGGGCCTTAAATCAGCTCAGCTTCTCTGTTTATGTGTGTAGTGTTCGTGTATGGCCCGTCTGCCTGCAAACCTGGTGTCGTGATTCCAAGCGCACGCACACGGCGGCACGCCCGCCTGTGTCAACGTGCGTGTATCTGGTGAGTGCAGTGCGCCCTCACGCCTGCACGCATGCCAGCAAGCCCAGTGTTTGTGTCTGCCGTGAGCGCACTCATGCCCCCCACCGGTGTCTGTGTGTGCGCGCCCGTGTGCAGCGCGTGCACCCGCCCAGCCCGCCCCGTGCGCCCTGGTGCTCTCCCTCACACGCGCCGGCTTGGGGTCCGCCCTCCAGCGCCCTTCCACCCAGTGAGCGCCCAGCTGTTTCTATAGGAACCGCTGCAGCGCCGGGCCCCCTCCAGCCCGGCCCCCAGTGCGAGCATGCCCAGTGGAAGCCGCTAGTTTGGCTCGGGTCTAGGTTTCCAGTAAGTGGCATGCGGGACTCCGGAGAGATCCCAATGAGCTGAGTCTTTGTGTGTAGAGGGCGGCAGCTGCGGCCGCTGGCCTGGAGACCCCGCCCGGGGTGCCCCCCGACAGGAACAATGCTAGCCTGCCTGACCCGGGGGAACTTACTGGACGTCCTGCAGGAGGGCTTCAATGAGGTAACTGCCTGCTCCTCACACTCCCAGCTCCCCTCCCCCAGGGCCTCCCGCCTAATCTCTGGAAGTGGTCCTCCACCACCCCCCATCCTCACCGGACCCCAAAACAAATCGCCTGCAAAGCCGACTAAGGCAGTGGGGACCGTCTGGGGTAGACGGTGAATCTCCGGGACTACTCAAAAGGGCGCCTGCCTCTGGTTAGGCTGGGCGACGACCTACCTCGGTAGCTTACCTGAGTCCTGAAAACTGGAGCAGATGCAGAGAGCTTAGCTCCTACCAAAGAGGTGGTCTCCACCCTTCTGGGGATTCTCCCTCCCCCACCCCGAAGTCCCCAGGGAAGCCCCCAATGTTTGCAAAAGTGCTCATTTGATTTCCTGAGCTAGTAGCTGAGCCAAGGGAGGGGTGGGGTGGCATTGCATTGGTAGAAAGTTTGAGAGCTGGCAGGGTGGGTAGGTGGCCCGTTTGAAGAGCCCTTTTCGAGCTTATGTCCCTTTCTAAATCCAGGGCAGTAGATTTCTGTACAACCAAGGCATCGTTGGCAGAGACGATGGGGGAAGGGGGGAATTTCTGGACCCAATTCGGGGAAGCTAACATTTGCCCCCCTCTTTGTGATCGTGGGGACTGTGTCTTCAATCTGTCAGGCTGAATGAGCTAGGGCAGGCTGCCGGGGGTCTTTTTCGCTTCACCCATTTTCTCTCTAAATTCTATTATTTATTCCATTTTCTGTGACACAGGTAATTCTGGGTTAGGACCTTTCCTGTTGCGATTTTCTCCATCAATCTTCCATTGCTTTCGAGCCCCACCCCCTTGGGGGGCCTTATACCTGTATCCAGGAACATCCGTGCAAGAACTAGACTGTTGTGTCTTTCTTCTACCACCAACCACCCCCTCAGGTCCCCCACCCCCCTTTTCTCCCCACTTCTCATTCTTCCATTAGTGTCTTACTCAAGTTTAAGCTTTTTTAAAAAATGGGCTTTTAATGAAACAATTAAAGAACATATGAGTACATTCTCTTCTTAAACATGAACAGAGCAGGCCAGACTGAGTGCCTTGGCCACCCCTGCCCCCATGCCTGCCTTTTCCCCAGAGGTAACCCTTCTCATGAATTTGTGTGTGGCTTGTCTTCCTACAGCTGTATTACAGGCTCTTTCCTTAATTCCTGTTTCTAATTAAGAAGCTCGGCAGCCTGAGACCTGACTCAGAACCTCCCCCAGACCTGGCCCCAGTGTACCAGTCTCCTTCCTGACACACACAGGGGAGCTGCAGAAATGCTGTCCCAGCCTAACCAACTGAGTCAGACTTTTCCTTTGGCAGAAGGGTGTCACCACCTTCGCTGCCTGCATTGCAGGGCACCACATCTTTGCACCATTTCTCTCTGAACACACCAAAGAGATTGTTAACAAGAGCTGCAGTCAGAGAGTTGAAACATGGAGGAGCCAGGAAGCTACTTACTTGAGAGCTTCCAGTCTTCCTGCATCCTCCTTTCTCACTCCTGTGGCTGGACCTGGAGCCTGAGACCCAGGTGTGGCAGAAGCTCTGAGGTGCTCCTACATATAGCCTCCCCCTCGCTTTCGAGCTCAGCTGGCAGATATCACTAGGAGGAAACCAGTAGAGTCCTCGAGCCTGGGCTTTGCCTTTGCTGATATTCTCTTCCCAGACTTTCTGCTGAAGAGCCAGGTGAACCAAGAGGCTTGGCTGGGGTGTGTGTGTGCTGCACATGCTTTCATGCTTCCTTATCCCCTGAACTCTCACTCTTGTAAAATACAAGTGGAAAGAGGGAGTGGGAGAGTTTTCTTTCTGTGGTGGTAATGGAGGCTTCATGCAAACAATAAACCCACAATTTCATAATAATTTCCTCTCTTCATAATAATTTCCAGTGTGGTGCCTCTCTTCTCTCTCTGACATTTGCTTTCCCTACCCATCTTGTCAACTTTGCTCTCCCCTTTTCACAGGCTAATGTATAGCCATTCCCTTCAAAGCTTTGCACTCCGACAGCCAGTAGATGCTTTTGAGATCTGTGAGAAGCTGGCATCGCCTAAACAATGCTGCTAGTAATTACCCCTTACAGATTAATGAATTCTTTCCATAATTCAAAAAAATCATCCTTTTCCTCTATAGCATCACAGTTAGTGCTACTGAGTAATAGTTTGGTTGGTTATTTCAGGGGTGGCAGGGCTTTGACCTATTCCAGCCTCTAGATTGCCTAAGAACTGTTGCTACAGGACTTTGTTGCTGCCCTGCAGGGGGAAGGCCATGAGGGACACGGCCATTGTGGAGCAGGTTTGCAAGGCAAGACTGCTACTTGAAGTTCTTGTGCCATTTATTGAAAGCAGACAGGCTAGTAAGAGCTGATCTTGTGACAATGGTATGAGGAATAAAGCCTGGAGGGTGGGGTAGGAATGGGGGACAAAGTTTTACAAGGAACAGAGAAGGCGACATTGTGAACATATGCCAAGAGGCATTTGCATCAGCGAAGCCTTTGATGTCATCAAAACCAGCATTATCCTGAGACCACCATGGAGGTAGTCACGTAATCAGGTCAACAGCGGGCTAGGCTTCCTTGGGCCTGCCTGGTGATGCAGGCTAGTCCCCGTAGATCATCAAGGAATGCTCTGTCTTGATTTGTAGATAGCAAATAGGTCATAGTTGCCCAGGAGTGTCCAGCTAGTAGCCAGCTCATAAGAACCCACAAATAACCCAGTGTTTTTGAGTTCTTATGCTTGAGTTATGTGATAAGGATGTAAGGAGAGACTTAAAAGCTGGTGTCACAATACACTTCAGTTCCTTGGAGAAACTCTTCCTTCTGAGGCTAAGAATGCCATACGTGTATCCAGTCGTCTCCCGGGAATAAGCCAAGCATAACTGAAACTATTCTTCATCACCCAGATGTTTCTAGGGCAGTGACCTCATTCTTTGTAGCAGAGAAAACTGCCACAGGAAGTGAAGCTTTGGCCCTAATTGGTTAATTATAAGGATCCCCTGCAGCAGAGAAAACCCTGCCCTCTGAATCAAGGCTTCCCTCTACTCCCCATTGGACTCTATTTCCGATCCATTTGCTTCTGTGCATCACTGTGCAGGCACAGGTATTTTTCTGCCACATTCCCTGTATAGAGGCCTGGCCTCAGCACACCTGACAGATGACTCACAGAGCTGTTGCCTGTCAGAGCTGCCAGTGCCGTCCCTGTTACTGACATGGTTCCTCTGCAGTGTGACTTAACCACACATTTTGGCCTCTTCCACGTTCTAGAACAAGCCCTGGCTCTCCTCCACTTCCCGCCTAGGTCATGGGCCTGGCCCGCTTTCACAATTTTCACATTCTGTAGGTCCCTGAAAGTGATGTATTTATCTTCTCTTGACTTGACACTGATACTCTCAGAGGAACGTTGTCTTTGAATAATGTTGCAGCAGGTATCTCTGGGGACTGGACTTTCTTCAAAAAAGAAAAATTGGAGGCTCAGTAAAAGATGTTACCTCCTGCCTTATTTGCATGTTTCCATTACTTGTGTGTTCCACAAACATTCCGTGGTGTAGGTATGAGGAGAGCAAGCAGGGAGAGGAAAAGAGAGACTTTGGTGTTTGTGTCGGTAGCCTGTGATAGAGCTAAAGTGACGCTATGGTTTAGTCAGTAAGTGTTCACTAAGTTCCTTTTGGTCATTTACGGGGCGGGGTAGGGGTGGGGGGGTGAAAGCATTGAAAAACACTCAGTTCCCGCTTCCAAGGGGAGAGAGAGAAAAAACACACGATGTAGTGTTTGTGGGTGCTCCTAGAGTCTCCTTCCGCTCCTGATACTGTGCAAGGCCCCAAACAGTTACCAACCTACCTGCTCCATGAGGCCGACTTTCCCCTGTGCTGCTCTGGTAAATATGCGGTGCAGGCCTCATTCAACAGAGGTTCACTGAATTACTGTGTTTACCAGGCACCATGCCAGACTCTGGAACTAGAAATCAAATAACAGTCTGTGCCCTCCAGGGGCTTACAGGCCAAGAAAGAAAGGGGAAATGTTCCTTGAGGAGATAGAGAAAACCTGTGCTGGCTGTTGTGTCAGTGGCCTGAGGGACTGGAATTTGGGGGGAGAATTTATTAAAATGCTGCGATATGTGTTTTCTGAACTGAAGGCTCAGACATTTAGCATATGACCTGGAAGACTTTTCCTATTAATTTCCCTCCAAGTAGAAAAGGAGATATTTAAACCCCACTCAGTCATCTGTTGGGGAGGCCTTTGTCTGGGGTCTGGGGACACAGACTGAGTGAGGAAAAGGGTGGGCAGATGGGTACCTGAAGGGAGCATCTCCCCCAGGGCCTCTTGCCTTCCCTGCTTTAGGATCTGCAACCTGGGGCCAACCAGAGGCTTGCAGACATTTCCACAATGAATTCCTCTGTGCTTTGCGGTAGAAATTAAAAGGCCTCTTAAGTCTTTAATGTAACAAGCACTCTCCTCCCTACCCTTCTCTTTTCTATCCTGACTGATATTTCCTCCTTACTCAGGCGTGTTGGCTTTGCGCCCACAGGAGTCAATGCCAACTTGACAGATGCTCCCTGGCAGCAGGCGCTCAGGCAGCTTTATGTCCTCCTGTGAGTGATGGGCTCCAGGCGTGTGGAGCCACTGCCCGCCAGGTGACACGCCCCCAGGCAGCTCAGAGCCAGGGGCAGCTGGGAGTGCTTGGCCAGGACTGGCCTGTTTGCGTAGGCTTTGCAGCCCAAAGACTCAGCGACACTTTCCTGGGTGTATTTTCTTTCTTTTTAAAAAATATTTATTTATTTGTTTACTTATTTATGCATACAGAACACGGGTACAGGCCAGAGGTGCAGGGGCAGTGAGAGGATTCACCAGAGACAGAGTGGGGGGCAGAACTGGCAGATCTACTGAAATACACTGCTGAGGGGAGCAGTGGGGGACAGGAGAAGTATCCTGCAACTTGTGGGGTCAAAACACTGCTGCACTACCTGTAGATAGCTTCATTGTGCTGCACTTTAACCTGCTGCACCACCAGGGAGAGCCCTGA